GGGGGGAAACGGGGCCCGGGAACACCCCGGGAGCGGGGAGGAAGGGGCAGGGGGTGTCCCGGGGCGGGGGCGGGGGGGCGCTCTCACGCTGCGGGTGGCTTGTACTGGGGAGACACCGGCGATGCCCCGGTGCACGGAAGGCCCCGGGCTGGTGGGAGCCGCTGTCCTCCCGCCCCGAGCTGCCGGCACCCACCCGCCTGCCTGGTGCCAGCGCTGGGAGCACTGGTGCAGACTGGGCAAAGCCGGCTTAGGGGCAGCACCCAGCGCTCGGGCTCCCCGAACCCGAGCAGCAGCTGTGAGCGCTGGGGGCATCGCTTCGGGAGGAGGAGGGAGCACCCCGAGGCTTGCTGCCGGTGCCCATCGTTGCCACATCTTCCCTGGCCAGTGTCAGGAGCTCAGCCCCTTGCATAAGGCGCCTTTCAGCAGATGGAGATTAAACTTGAGGTCAATTGGGAGGGTTTTGCAATGCTGTACACTATAGCAGGTTTGGGAATGGGGACTTCTCCTGACTTTGTGTCGGGGTGAGCTGGAAGTAACCAGGAAAAACGCATGTGAGAAACAACAGTGTTATTTTAACCTTTAGAACTGCTGCCCGGGTGCTGGCGGTGTTTGTGTACCCATCAGGCTGAACACTGAAACCGATGACAGCATGATTTATTTCCTTGTGCTTGCTTTATATCTCCTGCCTCCATTTTCTGAGATCCTGCTCAGTGTCCTTGGAGGTTGCTGGTTGTAAAGCTGGTTCCTGCAAAACCTGATGAAGGGGCAGATAGCCAGCTGCTTCGGGGTGCATGGCATGCAGGTCTGACATGAGACATCCTGGCTTGAGCCTGGACATCCGGGATGGGAGAGCGTGGATCCTGAACAGAAGATAAAAGCTGCTGGAAAAACCACCGTGGCTTCTTGGGGACGAGTGTGAAGTCCTGGTGGGGTGAGCAGGGAGGAGAGGTGATCTCTGTGGTGGCCTGGAGAGGCCACTCCTGGCCTGTTCCCATTGGAGTCTTGGAATGGAAGTGGCTTGTATCAGTCCTAGAAAAAGATTTTAAGGTTCAAAGCCAACAGCTAGATGTCAAAGTACTGCCTCTTCCCCTGTGCAAATTCTAGGAGGCAGAATGGTTGTCACTTCAAAATACTTGTGCAGGGCAAAGCTTTCTGGCAAGGAGACGCCAGCCTAGAGAGTGGAGGAGAGGAAGGGCATGGTGGCAAAAAGTACCTGTGTGGGTTTGAATTAAAACACGAAGGCAGCAGTGTTGGCTGTTGAAGGGCAGCTAATGCAGAGATGCAAGGAAGTGTGGTAGGCTGCATGCTCCTGGTGTTGGTGGGCAGCCGTGTGTCTGCGTGGTGGAGGCAGCCAGCCAGCGGAAACCTGAGTGCCTGTATTGCAAGAGGAGCCTGGAGCTTAGTCCTGTGGCATGGCTCATGGAACTGGACCTCTGGAGCCCTGCAAGTTGGCATGCTCTCTCCAAAACAACCATGATGAGCAGCACCCCTTTCTCGGGGGCACCCATCCTAGGGGCACTCTCAAAATCTGGCGTGGCTTGGTGCATCAAGTGCAACGTCATCTGGTGCAGGCACTCATACCTCATGAGATGGCTGGGAGTGCCTTGAGCTTGCTGCATGCCTTCAGCAGAGGAAGTCTAGGACCCGCAGAGGAGCCACCACATCCTGGGTTGATCTGGTGTCCTGCTGAGTTACACCTCTGGCTGATGACTGTCCTTTCCTGCAGCCCCACCCCTGCTGCAGGTTACATGGCTGGGGGTGTTGACAGCCCTGGGGTAGGTTTTGTTAATTGGGGCTCATCAGGTAAAATCCTTCATGGGGACACCTGCAACTGCAAATATGGAAAGAAAAGGTTGTGTGAATGTCTGGACTGGGGCTGGAAGAGAGGTGCAGACAGCTTTTCGCAGAGGTGGCTGACGTGCCCTGGGAGGGGGTCATGGCACAGATCCGGCACAGCTGGGTGATGCCTGGGCAGGTTTTCATTCCACTGCCAATTTGAAGGGAAAGAAATGCCCTCCAGCCCTGGCAGAGCTTTTGGTGTTGCAGAACATGAAGTCTTTCTCCTGGTTATTCTGCAGTGCTGGCAGAGCTGTTAACAGCCAGCAAGTGGGCATCGACCACCTTCTCCTCTTGGCTTGTGCGATTTTTTTTGGGAGAAGCTGTTGGGGGAAGAGTTTGCTATTGATATGGCAAAACAGCTCAGGCAGTGGCTGGCTGCAAATCCCAAACCTTTCCTGCTGCATGCTCCTGGAAAAACTGCTTATTTGAAATCCCTCCATTGCTTCCTTTTCCAAGGAGCCAGGATGTCCTGACGTGCCATGCCACAGCTGCTCTGCCTGGGCACCTTATTTTCCACCACTGAAAACCTGCTGGGGAAGCAGCTGGGTTGGTTCCCTGACGCTGGGTTGAAAAGAAATAATTTCCTTGAGAGAGAGAGCGTGCACACTGCCAAAACCTTGTCTCGGCAGTGTAACGCCAGGGCTGTCTCAACTGGGAGAAGAGCAGTCACAGCAGATGTAGCTTGAAGATAGAGACAGGCCCTGATTCAGGGCTGTCATGCAGGACAGGCTGGTTCTTGTGGTGCCCTGGACCTCTGCAGGCAAAATGTCCTTAAACAGTCAAATGCAAAGGTGAGTGTGTAGGAATGGAGAGTGGACTGCAGTCGGGTCCTGTGAGACTGCAACCTGGCAAATCTTACACTGAGAAGGATCTGGGGACCTCAGATGTTGGTGAATGAAGGTGAACGTCCAGTGACCACAGAGTCAAAAAGGCAAATGTGGGTTGTTTTTGTTAGGGAGGAGTGTGTAGGAGCAGGGGGTGTCATGAAGGAGCCTCTCCCCCTTGCTTCTGGGGGTGCATGTCCCAGGGGATTAGTGCTCACCCATGGTCCACTGCCTGGGCTCTGCATCCCATGAGCCATCAGAGCATGACAGGCTGTGCGCTCCTGTCTGGGGTGGCTTTCTCTGATTGGCAGTACAACGTTGGTTCCTGCAGGTAGCTCAGGGACATTTGCCCACCCCAGGGGCTCCCATGCCCACGCCACCCACCTGGCAGCCAGGTTGGGTCTTGCCTGTCTGTTCGCTGGGGGAAGTTCAGCAGCTTCTTCTGGTCTGGTAGCTGGTTTCCATATGCTAATTGTCTCTGTATGGAAGATTTAACTTGGGGCGGTTCATTAGCACAAGACAGTCCTTTACGAGCGCTGACTTGGAGCCCAGCCCTGCTCCTCTTGCCCCGAGTGGTGCTGGCACACCCAAGTGCAGGTGTGACCCTGTTTGGGTGTCTCTCGATTCCCAGGCCTTTGGGTGAGAAATTATCTGATGGGCAGTGCCTGGCCGCACAGCTGGTGTGCAAGTGGAGGTGAGTCCTGGGGATCCTGCCAGCTGCAGACAGGGCAAGGCTGCCCCATGCTATCTGTCCCCAGGGATGTGACACCGGGATGGGGCAGGGCTGTGTGTGACAGTGAGGATGTGGAGGTGGAAGGGCAGGGTTTATGTCCCTGGAACAGCATATGGCTTCTCTGGGTTCATACCTCTGTTCCCAGAACTTACTTAGCAGACCATGGCCTACCGGTCATGGAGGTGGTGGTGGCAGTGGTTCTTGTGTGCATTCCCATGAGCATCTGGAAGAGCATCCCGCCCCTGCACAAGCTTGGAGCCCTGCTCTCAGATATTGGACTGCTCTGTTTTCATGCTGTGCCTTTGCAGGCAGCCCTGAGCTGCCAGAGCTCTGCCTGCTCATGTCTGCTGACTGACAGTGTGTGCCCTGGGACACAGGTTCCTGTGGTGTATCTCTACAAGAGGGGCAACTGCAATGTGGTGGTCACGTCCTACCCAGTGACACTGAAGGGATAGTGATGCCTACTTTCATCTTTTATACCTCTTCTTCCCTTGCAGATACTTCAGGTGGTGGTACAAGAAGACCCGCATAGAGAAGAAATCTGCGTTCATTGACCTCTTGTGTGCTGTTCCTCTGCAGCAGATCTATGGTCAGCCTCCAGTTTGGGCACTGGGGTGGGGCATTGCCATCAAGGTGCTAGACCAGGGAGTGGGTCAAGGAGCTGCTGTGGTGTGGGCAGTGCTGAGGGGCCCCCAGAGCTGCATGGAGTGGTCCTTGAGATAGATCCCACCACGAGGAGGAACAGGGGTGCTAATTTCTGGTGTTTTTGCCAGGGTGCCCGCTGGGCGGGATCGGGGGAGGCACCATCACCCGTGGCTGGCGGGGTGAGTTCTGCCGCTGGCAGCTGAACCCTGGCATTTATCATTATGAAACGGTCATCGCTGACCAGGTAGGTGCAGCGGGGTCTGTAAGGGCTGCAGGTGGCACTGCAACAGCCCAGGTGGCTCAGGCATCTGCTCTTGGGCTGATCTCACCCCCTCCACGTGCTTCTCTTTTCCCCAGTTCACCGTGTGCCTGCGTTGCAAGGGGCAGACGGTTTACCAGCAGGTCTTGTCTGTGGAGAGACCTAGCACTCTGCAGGGATGGAACTGGGGCTACTGTGGCCACTATGCCTTCTACCATGCCCTGTACCCCCGTGCCTGGATGGTCTACGAGCTGCCGGGGCAAAACGTCGTGCTCACTTGCCGCCAGGTCTCTCCCGTCATCCCCCACGACTATAAGGTAAGGAGGTGGTGGCTCCTCACTGGTTGCAGCCTGTCCCCATGGGAGCACCAGGCCACACTGCCTCACAGCAGCACGGCACCTGTGGAGCGGTTGGTGGGGATGTGGCAGAGCTGCCTGCATGGAAAGGGGGAAAGGTTTGGCACAGCAG